CACACACACACACACACACACACACACACACACACACTTAAACTCCTGATGGAGGGTGCTAATCTTTCGAGTACAACTGATGAGTCTCGAGTACAACTGATGAGTCTCGAGTACAACTGATAAGTCTCGCATCGTTCGAGTACAACTGGTGAGTCTCGAGTACAGCTGGGGTTCAGCTGGTTTTGGAGAAAAGTGCAAAAAGGGACCTTTGTTTGGGGTGGGCCCGCCAGCTGCCATGACAATGGCCCAGGCGCAGCCCCGCAGGTACGTTTGGACCCGGACACCGGGGGGCGTCTTCGTTGGCTGGAGACCCCCGAGCCGGCTCCAGCCCCCTGCGTAAGAAACAGTGGTGACAGGGCATTCTGTCACTCCGCACACACACGCCCCTCAGTGAGGGGCGAGAAGTCTCTTTTCCTGCAGGAAGATCACATGCTCAACTTCGTATCTCTATCGTTTGCCAAAACATCCACCGCGGCGAGGGGAACGCGAAACTGCCCTAAGCCGCTCAGAAGACGGGAACGAAAGATCACCACGATGAGCATTACGGGTGTCGCCATAGAAGACTGAAGGGAGTTGCAAAGCAGTCGAGCGATCACCGCCAGAAATAGGGGGGCATAGGTGAACATTTCCTCGACTCGGATTGCGTCCGAATTCTGCACGTCAACAAGTGATTGGTCACGGGCATGATGTGTGGAGAAGGACTCCAAGCGAGAAAGAATGCGTTGGTACCCTTGATGCTGCCAGTCGCGAATTGTCCACGCCTGACTGTGTTCACCAGTCCCACCAATGGGATCAGTTACCCGCTTCCACTCCCGAAACGAGTTGCCTGGTAGGGCAGGTACGGTTCCCTCAGGTTGCCACAGCTGAGGTTGTCCCGGAGTATAGATCCGCACCCACTCCTGATCCTGCCAGACCGAATACTCGAGCCATGGGTACTGCTTTGCATTCTCGATGTCCATGCCGAAGTGAGAGACAGGGCGTACCGCGGGTTCCGATCCAGCTAGCAAAGAAACAGTCATCATGTGCAACCATGCGCAATCAGCTACCACACAAGAAAGCACGAGCATGAGAAAGCACCATTTTGTGCCATGCTCAACACGCATCAGTCTATTCATCATTTAGCTCGAAGATCGGCTTCTCCTTGGCGGTGGAGCTGCATGGTTGGGTCGTAGGTAGACATGGATCAGAGACCCCAATAGACTCAGGTGGTTCAACTCCACGAAACGCACGTACTGGTTGGTGCTGATGGGACGCTTGACGCGCGCGATCCGACAGTTGCTGAGAGACCCCATCCTGGAGACGAGTAAGACCCTCCGTGGAGAAAGCCGCAGCATCCGATGATCTAAGAATTGCACTCAACATTTGCGGTGACATACACAAAGTCGATGATTGTGTGGCCACGCTATGTTGACCAGGAAAAGACATCGAATTGAAGTCGTGAACAGCTTGAGGGGCAGCGACTCGCCGGTAACCCTCTGCGGCCCAGTCCCTTCCGTACCAAATGCTGCTGTTGGGCTGCCCGCCTTCTTGATCAAGATTCGGGACATAGAACTCCTTCCACTCCCTGTACGTATGGGGCGGAGGCGGATCATCACGTTCGTCCTGTGGAGTCCATGATCCCGGATGGAAAACCTTGACGCATTGAGCATCTGGTTGTTGAGGATCCGGACACCACTCCAGCCACGGCATGACAACTCAAACCCTTGATGCAAAATCGAGACGTGCACGGCTGCAGACTACAAGCGCTACATGTGACACAACAACAAACATGCAAGCAAACACTTTGCAGCAAGGCGCGGCTCAGGTGTCGAAGTCACTCGCCCCAATCAAATTGAACATCATGGAAAGACAAGGACGAACATCAGCCACCATCCGAGTTCGAGGATGCCGACGAAAAGGACCGCCCAGCGTATGAGGTCTGGTGATCCCGAAGCGAAAACTGGACGTGCAATGCTGGGGCGCGGATGGCCGAGCCGTTGATATCCTCTGGTGACCCAGTCACGATACTGCCATGTGTAAAAGGATGCGGGCTGTAGGCAGCGGTGCTTGGAGTCGAAGTCCCCACGCGTAACGCTGATGTAGGAGAGGTAGCAACCACTTCTGAGCGAAAGGATGCTGCAGATTCACGACGCAGCGAAAAGACTTCTCCCGAGCAAAAGGTCTTGTGCGTCAGTATGGCAAACAACGAAGGACAAATCTCATGTGCACGAGAGGGAAAATGATCCGCTGGAATTACAACCCACGAGGACAGCGAAACCACGGTGCGCTGTAGTGATGCGGACGCCCACTGAGCACGATCATGAAGGTTGGAGCGATGGGCATCAATCAACTGAGTAACAACAGGCCGCAGATCAGCAAGGAGACTGTATCCATGTACATGCCACCGAGGAGCTAGTTTGCGAAGCTGTGTGGTAAAACGCTGATGCAGCATGTCAACATTGCCAACATGTTGATCCTTCAAGGACGCGGTCATGATGTCAATGTCGATGTCTGCATTGATGCGTGAGAACTCATCTACCATTACTACATGTTCATGTGCACGATGTAGGAGGTGATCATCAATGTCTGAACAGCGACACGGAAAAGATATGTCAGGAGTCTACCTGCGTTGCCATGTGCGGTAGTTGTAGATCCTGTCCCCCAAGGCAGCACTGCGAGTTCCCACCACCCGGATCTGCGGAAGAAATAGGGAGGGAAACAAGCCACGATGCGAAGCTACCCAACGTTGTAACCATGTGCCAAGCCGAGCTTCCCAATTCCGTACATGTAGAGGTAGGAGAAGTAGTTGTGCCAAAGTGCTTGGCGATTGAAGTTGTCGTTTGTGCATTACCTGGGTAAGGAGCTTCTGTGCCTTAGAACGAAAAGGCTCGTTGACGAAGACGTAGAGTCGTAGGAAGTAGTAGAGCTGAGCAGGTGGAAAAGCCGCCGACAGCAAGTCTCGCGTAGCCTGGAACGACGCACCTGTGTTGGATCCCAGCTGACAAAGAGTGGAGTAATGCGCTTGAATGCCATCCAACATTCCTGGTCGTAATTGCCGTTGAAGATCCGGATGTAGTCGTCGTCGGAAACGTTTGTGTAGCCCTAGTGAGGTGGGAGATGACAACGAATGACGCCGAAAGTCAACCAGATGCTCACGGAAGCCAATTTGTCGTCACAGTGCTGTCAAAAGGAAGCGCGAAGCCAAGGGATCTGCGGTAAAACACTCATGCCATGACAACCTTGACTGCAATGCGAATGTGGCAAGCAACGCAATGCAAGGCAACTTTTCAAACTGAAGGCGGGACGAATCGACAAAGTCTGCAGTGTACGGCGACTATGATTCACCGCCGCTGATGCCGCACACACCTGCAATGGCAATGTCCTGGTCGGCGACAAGCACTGTCTGCGGGCAAGTACACGTCAAAGTGATATGACTTGCGCCACTCCCGACACGTGGGTGCGCAGTCTGGGGCTCGTCCCAGGGCAGCTGTGGCCACAGGTTGCCACGGGCCCGGTGCGCAAATTCGAATCCATTCCACGCCTCTCTCGACGTGGTACTCAAAATAGTGCGGGCACATGACAGCCAAATGTGTCGTCACAGTGCTGCCAAAAGGAAGCGCAAAGCCAAGGGATCAGCGGTGAAAC